AATGAAATGCCAGTAAGGATTAACAGCACTATCTAAAAGGAAGTGAGGAGCAGAGACCAGGCAGAGGAAGAGCTGAAGCCACCAAGATCACCTGCTGCAACATCAATGTCTGCCTTCCCTGGCAGTCAGGAAACACTGTTTCCATTTCTGACTTTTTATTACTGTAGTAAGAAAGAATGTTCCTGCAGGCTGCTCCCTTTTTAAAATATCACTTTTCTTTAGTTGCTCTTGAAGCAGCTAAGCTTTGCCTGCAAAGGCACAGGCAGCCTCTGCATTTCCAAGAGTTGAGCAAAAAGTTTCAGTAGTTAAGATAAAACAGTTAGAAATAATAGTTCCCTATTCTAGAGAAATTCTCACTTCAATTCTAGAGAAGGAGAAGTGTTTGTCATTCACCCAAATAACATCAGACTGATTCTTCTGAAGTAAAAATACACCCTGGCTAAAATGCAACCCTTGCACAGTGCACTTGGTGCTTGGCTTCCAGTCCAAAGCACAGCTCCTGCTTTTGTAACTCAGGCTGGCTCCAGACTGGGTCCTCCTGCCAAGATTGATCTTTTGCTCAGCAAAGACTTGACCATCATCACTTGGGCTCCTGGAAAGACATCCTACTACGTATTACACACAGCAATTGTGTGCAGAGAAAGGTCAGGCCTTCTGGCACAGGAGCTTTTCTGAAGGACTAAACCAGAGAGCGCAAACTTCAAACTCAGCCCAGCTTATGGACAAGCTCTGCAAGGTTGCTTTGGTTCTGGGGAGCATTTCTGGCACAAGGAAAGCACCCACACTGGGAGCTCCTGCAAGACAGAGCAGACCCTCCATCTCTTTTCAGGCAGCTTCACGGGATGCCTTGTCCTTCTCCCTAAGGACAGAAGTGCTCTTGAGTTGTTCTGAAATTCAGCTTTTTGGAACCTGACATGGCAAAAACTGCAGACGACCTCAGGTTGTCTTGACTTTGGAGTTGGCCTTTTTTATGGATTTAGTTTTCTTTTTGGTGGTTTTTTTTTTTGTTGTTGTTGTTTGTTTGTTTTTTGGGTTTTGTTGTGTTGTTTGGTTTGGGTTTTTGTTTGTTTTCTTTTTGCTTTTTTTTTCTTTCTTTACCGGTTGTGATTTTTTTTGGACTCTCCTTTTAAAGTACACTCCAAGAAAGATGCCACATTTCTGTTCCTTTATGCACACTGACACTTCCTAATTGGGCCCTGTCATCAAGCCTCTCCCACATGACATGAACAAGGAAGTTGGCTTTACAAACCCCTTTTCTTAAGGGGCTGGAAGAAGAGCTAAAACCTGGCACAAGAGGATAAGGGATACATCTCAGCATCATGGATGCTGCAGTTTGAAGGCTTCTCCCAGTTCATTTGGAAAGATACCTTAAAGAGACTGTGGTGACACTGGAGAGCGAAGGTTCTGCTTTGGAAAAGAGGGGAAAGGGCTGTTCAATATCTCTGTGAAGGCCAAGCGAGTCCCTGCATGCCTATTCCCTGTGGATTCATTCCCTCTGCACTGGATCTGCTTGCCTGTTCCATCTGTAAGACTCAATTTTCAGTGCTGCCAGGAAAAGAAGCTGTCAATAAGGAATTCCCACCTGCAGGTGATGTGCACCTTAGACATTCAATGATCCAAAAGCCTGGGCTGGAAGAAATGGCTTTCCCAAGGGATGTCCAGGGAAGTCCCTGGAAAAACCCAGTTTGGCATGTGGCTGTTCAGTACACCTGAGGCCAAAGCCTTTCATTCAGATGGAATTCAAAGCAGGAGGAGGGAAGAACAGCAGAGTTTCTTCTGCTCTGGACCTCTTCACTGTCAGGGTCGCTGCAGGGTGTTACAGCGTGTGCCGCAAGGAACCCGTGAGTGCGACCTGCATTCTCAGGGCTCGGAGAACACTGCTAGAAATTGCTGATGATAAAAGGGAAGGGTGTCCTGGTTTAGGGCTAATTTGGGAGAAAACCTCCAGTGGGGCTCCCTCCCCGGGAAGCAAACCCACGTGGCCCTTTTCACCCCACTCCCCAACCGGTTCGGGAAGATTTCTCTGAGAGAAGTGGAAAAAACCTGTTTATTTCACAGGCACAGCACTACCCAGCACAAAAATGAATGATATCAAATTACAAAACCTCTCGCCCTTCAGAAGACATGACAAACTTCAGAGGGTCTCTTTCCTGTGGGTGTTTGCACTGTTATCAGTCCCTCTGGCGCTGGAAAATGCCGCTGCCTGGGCTGGGCTCCCGGTAGTCCACGGGTGCAAGCTCCCGGTGCTCCCCCGAGTCCCCAGTCCAGAGCAGGTTCGATTCGTTTCAGATAAAGGGAAAGAAAACAGTCCAGGAAGACCTCTCTGCTCCGGCTAGTTGGAAAGCCAAGGCGATCTGTGTCTTGTTGTCTGTCTGTGCTGTAGTCTAAACTCTTGATGCGGGGGGAGCAAGTACAGTCTGATAACAGACTTGGTGCTTCTTTTCCACTCACTTTTACTCTCAGATGGAATTTTAAGAATACAGAACCTGTGTCTGGGTTAGG